TCCCGCAATTAGGAACTCCTCCTGGCGTCCACTAGTGCATGGAGAAAAGACTGAGACCTTTTTTTCAGATGTAACTTCAGGCTCAGAATCAGGTCAGCTGAAATCGTTTTAGGATCCCTTCTCATCAGGAAAGACTCCCAGGAGTCCTGTGACTCCCCAAGTCTCCCGTCGGCATTCTGTGTGCTGAGAGCTGAGCACTCTGGGGACTGTTTCTCTTTCCTTCCACCTATTTCTTTATCTCCACGATCTTTCTGGACAGAATTCAAAGCTTAAGTTCATGTCCTAGGAGGACTTCAACCTCTACCGCATAGTATTCTCTAATATGGTTTTGTTTTGGGGGGGAAAGTAATTATCCTGTAAGCACTTAGCCTGAAAAAAAAAAGAGCTCTCTTAAATAAACACACTTATCGTAACACCATTTCTTCGGAACATTGGCAGAAGCCCAGATGATCTCTGCATAGTTTGTGAGGGACACGGACATCCCCGACTCGCCAAGCTTCAGCTCACCACCTGATGAGTTTATTGGGCTGTAGATTTTCAGAGCAGTTTTTGTGCAGTAACACAACTCCTTCTATTGGTGTGCCACACAAGCCCACAGGAATGAGGGGTTTGGGGCGTTTGTAGGAATACTGATGAGGAAACAGTTCCACCTGCAGGAGGGTGTTTACCATGAGACAGATGAATGCCCAGAGGCGCAGCACAGGCGTCAAACCCTACCCTACTGGACTCAACTCCACTCAACTCATCACTGTCCAGTCAGGTCTACTGCACAGTGGTCCCTGCAGCAGGTTTGCAGAGGCTGTAAATTGCACAGAAGGAGACTGACAAGCTCCCTAATCACAAGACCGTGGTAAATTCGAACCACCAGAGAGGCCTGGTCTTTGGGTTAGCAAAGCAAATTCTTACAGACCACACCAAGTCACTCAAGAAACTGGACTTAATGAGGAAGAATGTGGTGTTAGGATTGGAGAAAGACTCATCAACAATCTGCGTCATGCAGAGGAGACTAAAAACAAAGAAACCTTGCCCCGCTTACTGCGAGCAGATCAAGGACTTTAATACGGATTGCATCTCAACAGTCGAAGGCAAAAATCCTCCCCTCTGGACCAATGGGTGATATCATGATTGTTGTTGTTGTTTTGTGCCGTCGAGTCGTTTGCGACTTATAGCGACCCTATGTACAACAGCCCTAAACCCTGCTCTATCCTGTGC